TAATTTTTCCATTATTCCCTTTGCCCCCCACCCCTCTCTCGCTCTCGCTCTCTCTCTCTCTCTCTCTCTCTTTCTCTCTCTCTCTCATCATATTGCAACACACAAGCCTTACACACACGCGCGCGCGCGCGCGCACACAACACCCATTTAACCCCACATCTTCCCTCCTTCCCACCTACACACACACAAGTCACACATGGACACACATACATACACATACACACCACAAACATACATATCTACACCCCACCCCACTCCAGCCACAACCACACCTTCCCTCCTCCCCACCCCCACCCCCACCCCACACACACACACACACACACACGCACATACACACACCACACACACACACGCACACACATATACACACGTACACACCACTCACACACACACACACACACACACACACACATACACACAACACCACCACACGCACACACACACACGACCCTTTTCTTTCCCAGCGTCCATGTGGCAGCGAAAGGGCAGCTGGCGACCTTACGATTTCTCGACTTTTCGCCAAAATTTTCGTTTTGGAGCGGACACTTTTTCCCTCTAGATCCTCGCCCTTTCGCCCCTTCCCAGTTCCTCTATAGTCTTTATCTAATCGAATTCCTTTAATATAATTGTTATTTCCATCATAAACGTATCATATTCAGTCTCGTTTAACGACAATATTACCTCAAAAAGATTGACCTTCTCTACCTATACGCACCGTTTTCTTTTCTTTCTTTTTTTTCTCTCTTTCTCTTTCTCTTTCCTTTTTTTTCCTTTTCGTTTCGCGTGCCGAGTAGCACTCTGACGTCCGTCCGTGAGTTACGCCCCGAGTCCCACGGAAGGTCAAACATCTGTTCTGTAGGCTGACGCTTATGCAAAATACAGACACATATTCTTAGATTGGGTCAAAGGACATGGAGTGAGAAGGGAGGGAGAGGAAAGGGAAGGGGAGGTGAGGAGGGGAGGAGGGAGGAGAGAAGGGTGGAGGGGAGTGGGATTGGGATTGCTGGATTTTCTCTTTCTCTTCTCTCTCTTCTCTCTCTCTCTCTCTCTCTCTCTCTCTCTCTCTCTCTCTCTCTCTCTCTCTCTCTCTCTCTCTCTCTCTCTCCTCTTCTCTTTCTCTCTCTTCTTCTCTCTCTCTCTCTCTCTCTCTCTCTCCTCCTCCTCCTCTTCCTCTTCCATCATTCCCTGCCCCCCTCCCCCCCCTGCCACCACCTGCCCTCTACCACCACCCCTGCCATTATCACTCCAAGCCGATATATACACTTACCCACCACCAACCCCGCCTCTTCCTCCTCCTTCTTCTCCTCCTCCTTTTCCTCCAATTTCCTCCTCCTTTCTTCACATTCTCTTCCTCCTTCTCCTCCAGATTCTCTTCCTTTTCTTTGTTCTTTTACTCTAACCACCCACACATTCGCTTTTTTATCTTCTTCTCTTCTTCCTCCTTCTTCTCCTCCTCTTCCTTCTCTTGTTCTAACCTCCCACACAACCCACCGTATTTACCTCCTTCTCTTCCTCCTCCCACTCCACTTACCTCCTCCCCCACCCCCACTCCACTATCGTACTCCCATTCCCCCACATTTATCCCCAACACTTACCCCTTCCCCCCACACCTCCAACACTCCCTCCCACACCTCTACCTCGTCCTGATACCCCCCACACCAACTCCCACCACACCTCCACACCACCCCACCGACCCCTCACACCAACCCCACCACACTCCACCACCTCTCCCTCTTCCACCCACACCCACACCCCCACTCCCTCCCTCCCGGCCAACCCTACAATTTCACAGGGAGTTTCTGCAGCTGAGTATTTAAAGAGTCCACCCCCAACCTTCCACCCTCACCCCTAACCTCCCCCCCCCCCACCCCACCCCATTCGTCCGACTGTGGACACGTCAAACTTTAGGGCTATTAACTAGGAACTCTTTGCCATATGAGCCGTTTGGGGAAAGTTTGTAGGGGGAAAGGGGTGGTGGGGAAGAAGGAGTGGTGATGGGGATGGAGGGTGGGTTAGGGAGGAAGTGGGAAGGGTGGGGAAAGTAGGGAGAAGGAGGAGAGTGGGGAAGGTAGGGAAGAGGAGGAGGGAGGGGGAAAGTAAGGGAGAGGGAGAAGGGTAGGATAAGAGGGACGGTGGGGGAAGAGGAAGAGGAGGAAAGGGAAAGGTAGATGGAAGAGAGGGAAAGAGGAGGAGGAGAAAAAGGAAGGAGGAATAAGAAAAAAGGGAAACAGGAGGGAAGAGGGGGAGGTGGAGGGGGTGAAGGCAAAATTCACTCTTTTATTATCATTTATTTTTTATAGAAGAATTTCATTCGATTTTGAACCTTATGCGAAAGGAATTTCATTCTCTCTCTCTCTCTCTCTGTCTCCCTTACGAGATATTCTCTCTCTCTCTCTCTCTCTCTCTCTCTCTCTCTCTCTCTCTCTCTCTCTCTCTCTCTCTCTTTATTTCTATGTCTAAGTTTTGTCTTTTAGAGAAATGGTGATTAAACCTTTTCATTTTTTTAATTCGTATTGTTTTTCCTATTTTCTTATCGTTCTTACATTCAAATTTTCTAATCATTCTAAATCGATATGTGTATGTGTGCGGGGGTGTTGAAAGAAAGTGTACAAAGTGTACGTTTCAAGAGAAGAAAAGGAGAAAGAAAAAGAGAATGGAGGAAAAAAGAAAGAATGGAAACAAAAGGAAGGAAAAGAAAGAAAAAGACAGAAACAGGGAATAAATTTGGTTGGGTTGGCCTTTCCTTCTCTCTCTCCCACCCACCCTCCCGCCCCCCATTCTCCCCTTCTTCCTCTATCCTCCCACCCTCCCCCTTTTCCTCTCCCTCCTCCCCCTTTCCTCCCCCTCTCCCTCCTTCCCACCTCCTCCTCCTCCCCCTCTCCACTCCTTGCCACCCTCCTCCCCTCCTCCCCCTTTCCTCACCCCTCCCCCCTTTTTCCCTCCCCTTCGCCCTCTCCCTCCCAATGGGTGGGTGGACAGCCTGCCAGCCCTTGGGTTAAGTTCTTAATTTCCGACAATTCGTGCGTCCCATTCTCCTCTCCTTCTCTTCCCTCTTTCATCACATTTACTCCCATTCATTCCATCCCATTTCATCTCCGGATTTGCATCTTTCTTCTTTTCTTTATCCTAAGAGCAGTCTCGATTCTTTTTTTTTTAAATCAATTTTCATCTTAATTTTGATATTTGGTTTTCTTCGCATACGACCGACCGGAATAGGCCTAATAGCCGAAAAAATCAATATTATGCTAAATAACGTTAAAGGTTGGTATATACATGCACATTTTTCATCCCGAGAGAAGCGTATAAATCAAATACTCCCATGAACCAAAGAGAGAGAAAGGGGAAGGAGGAGAAAGAGAAAGAGAGAGGAGAGAGAGAGAGAGAGAGAGAGAGAAGAGAGAGAGAGAAGAGAGAGAGAAGAGAGAGAG